CCCCCGGTGCATGTCCCTTCTCCAGGCTTGCTTGCTTACAGGGACCGTGCCCGTTCCCCCCGGTTCAGCTGTCTCCCACCGCTTTGGACAGCCTGGCCCTGGGGCTCTGCAGCTGGCAGATGGGAGGCCCCTTTGGGAACTCTTCTTTCATCGAACTGATTTCCACCAGGAACTGAAACACTGTGTTTTCAATCTGTAGTCAAAATCGGGAGGTAAATGTACCTCTTTAAGAGGTAAATGTCAGCTCTTCTCTCTGAGGCAGGCTTGTAATTGTGGAGGCCTGCTCAGAGGGACCTTGCAGTTTCCCCTTGGGGAGAGCTGGGGAGCGAGGGCGGGAGGCACATCGAAGTGCTACGACTGAGGGGGGCCGAGAGCCTTTAAGATAGGCTGTGCTGAACATTCCTCCTATGAGGAGAGGCTGAGAGCTGGGACTGTTCAGCCTGGAGAAGAGAAGGCTCAGGGGGGATCTTATTAATATCCATAAATACCTGGAGGGAGGGTAGAAGGAAGTGAGAGCCAGGCTCTCTTCAGTGGTGCCCAGTGACGGGACCAGAGGCAATGGGCACGAACAGGAACACAGGAGGCTCCATGTGGATATCAGGAAATGCTTTTTTTTCCACCGTGAGGATGACTGAGCACTGGTACAGGTTGCCCAGAGAGGTTACAGAGTCTCCCTCCTTGGACATATTTGAAAGCCATCTGGACACGGTCCTAGGCAACCAGGTCTCTAGGTGGTCCTGCTGGAGCAGGGGGGGTTGGACCAGAGGTCCCTTCCAACCTCAACCTTTCTGTGATCCCTTTACCTGGAAGTCCTTGGGTAACAGGCTTTGCTGTGCAAGCAAGCTAGATCATAAAGGCCAGGAGGCATTTAAAATGCAGGACCCTCTAGTCTTGTTGTGATACACCAATGTGCTTACTTCTGTCACTAGGGAGCAAGCCTGTAAGACGCAAGACCAACAACAAAATCATGGCAACATCCAGTGGAACTGGCCGCTCTCCCCTCAGCATCCTACAAGATGATAATTCCCCCAGTGCTCCTGCCCCTCGCCAGGTAAAGCTTAGTGAGTCATATTGGGGGGGAGGGGGGGGAAACGGGCTGAGGAAAAAACCAAACAAAACCAAATCCTTTAATTTCTGTATTATGTAGGGCCCCAGTTTGGAAATGTGGCCTCCTAGGCCTGTAGAGCCTGGTGACTTCATAAGTATTTTTCTGTGGGTCAGTTTTGCCCCTAGATGCCTCCAAGTCTTGTTCAATGTATCTTTGGCCTCACCATGATATTGCCTGTTTCAGTGCATCCTTTCTCTTTAGGTTGTAGAAGGAAGTCCACCACTTTTAAGACATTATCGCAAGAGAGCCAAAGCTGAATGGCCTGAAAATGGGCTAGGAGTTCCACTGAGAATTAACTAACCCTCAATTAACTTGTGTTTTATGCTGTATGTTTGGGGGTTTGTTTGTTTATTTCTTTTTTTTTTTTTTTATTTCTCTAGGGTAAGAGGCAGTTGTTGGGAGAGAACCTTGGGGAGAAGAAGGATGTAACGGTGGATCTGAGCAGGACCCTCAAATCTGGGAACTGTGCTTGGAGTGACTTGAACAAAGAGAACCAACAGTGTCCTTTTGTGGAGAACTAGAGCTTTCCTTTTCCAGGATCTTGCTGTAATTTGCTTCTATGTTTTGAGAGTCTTCTAGGGGTGAGAAATCCTGCAACAAAC